CAGGAAAAACAATCTTCTATGGTAATATGCAAAGAAAAAGAAAATTCATAGCTTTAAAACTTTTTGACTTATTGAAGAACTTACAAAGATGTAAACCATGTCTTATCAGTCTTCACACAGAGTGTAGAAATAGTAAGAGTTCAGTCTCTGAAATTCTGAAAGATAATTACCAACTGTATCCGTGTGTCAAGTGTACTCCTAACAGTTTTTTTTTTTCTATCCTACAAGTGCTTTAGGCTCAACTTGCCTGTACCCATACGCATAATGTGCCCCAAGTTAGATCTGCACCTTTTTTACCTTAAAACAACAGATTAATAGTTCTGATTCTAGGTGGAACATTAAGTACGTGAAAGATTTATAAAGCTGAGAGTTGGAAAAGAGTTTAAGGTGCCAGAGAACTCTGCTGCTGACTGTGGATTAAACCAAAACATTTTAATAGAATCATAGAAAACTAGGGTTGGAAGATCATCCAGTCCAACCGCCTGCGCAAAGCAAGACCATCCCCAACTAGATCATCCCAGCCAAGGATTTGTCTAGCTGTGTCTTAGGATGGAGGTTCCACAACCTCTGTGGCTTACCTGTTCAAGTGCTTTACTACCCTTCTAACAAGAGTTTTTCCTACTATCAAACATAAACTTCACTTGCTGTGACTTGAGGCCATTGCTCCTTGTTCTGTCATATGCCACTACTGAGAACAGTCTAGATTGGAGCAGGCAATTATTTTGGGTGGAGGGCCACTTACTGAGTTTTGCAAGCCATCAAGGGCCACATGGGTAGCCACGCCCCTTGACAGGTACCCTGCCTCCTGGTCGCCATCTTAGGACTGGAAGTCCTGCCTCTTAACCCCTGACCTTTGCCACCAGAAGTTCCTCCCCTTGCCCCTGTGAATTACACATTTCAGTAAGGGGCTTTGCCATCTCGGAACCAGAAAAATACCAGATTATATGCTAAAAATCAAACATGTACTACAATATTCATTAATTTCATTAAAAAATATTTTTTCTCCCGATTTACATGTATTTGTGTAGTGTACATAGAGGTGATGGTATAATAGCTTAAAATGAAGTCTTACTCTTGTATAGTGTGGGAGGGTGGGTATATGTTTTTGGGTGTGGGGGAGGATAGGTGTGGGTGTATGGGCTGTGGGTGGGTATGGGTTTTGTTGGGGGTTGTGAGTATGTAGGGGGAATGGCTGGGGATGGTTGTGGCTTGTGAAGGGGGAGGGTTTGTCCACAGCCTGGCAGAGCCCCTACCAGTGCTCCTGCAAGCCCAGGATCTGTGCTCCTGTTGGTCCTGGCCCTGGGCCCCGTGCTTCTACTTGCTGCCACTTGTCCCCTGTCTGACACTGCTGCCCTTCTCCTGCTCTGTCCCAACTGCTCCTGCAGTCCTGGTGCTGTAGCTGGGAACCACATCATGCTGAATGGCTGGTGTTGGGGGGGAGCAGAGAAATGGCTGCAGCAGGTGAGGGAAGGGGCAGCGAGCGGTAGGGCCTGCACCAGTGCACTAGGGCCATTGCAGACAGGGCCCAGAGTGGGGCAGCAGGAGCACGGGGTGGGGACTGCCTGGGGCTCTATGGAGCTGGGCTGGCTCCCTCCTCTCCCTGCTTGAGCAGCAGAGTCCAGCTCCATAGAGCCCCAGGCAGCCCTGCCCTGCGCTTCTGCCACCCCGCTCTGGGTCTCACTGGCACTGTCCCTGGTGCTTCCATCTGGATGTCACTGTGCTCTGCGCGCCTGCTCGCTTCCCCTTCCTCCCGCCTGCTGTAGCCATTTCCCCAATCCCCCACGCTGCTTGCCCACTAGGGGTTCACAGTTGTAATGCCAGGACAGCAGCAGCTGGCCCGGCTGGCCCTGAGGACTGGAGCAATCGCCCACGTTCCTCCCCTGCTTCCCTCCCCTCTCCTTTTTATCTCTATTTCCCTTGGCATAGGGAGGCAGGAACAGTCCCAGGTCAGAATCCTCCAGAAGCCCCAGCTAGGCAGAGGCTTCAGGCCAGGGCTCAGGGTGGAGCGGGAGCCGGGGCCAGGCCAGACCTGCTTCTCTAGCTGCTTGATCCTGCCAGGGGCTCCTCCTGGGTCCTACTGTCCCTGGTTCCTGTCATCCTTGACAGGCATATGGGCAGATAAATATTAATTTTCTAATTTTTTTTAGGGGCCCCATGGACCAGATAGAATGGCCTGGTGAGCTGGATTTGGCCCCTAAAAAAAATTAGGCTGCTATTAAATCCCCTCTGTCTTTCATTCTGTAGGCTACTAAATAAGCCCAGTTCCCTTAGCCTGTCCTCAGAAGTCATGTCCCCCAGCTCCCTCACCATTTGAGTTGCCATCCATTAGATTCTCTCCAGTTTGCCTACATCCTTTCTGTAATGGGCCTCCCAAAACTGGACACAGTACTCCAGATGTGACCTCACCAGTGTGGAATAGAGGGGAATAATCACTTCCCTTGATCTGCTGGCAACACTTTTACTAATGCAGCCCAGTATGTCATTTGTCTTTTTGGCAACAAGGGCACACTGTTGTCTTATATTCAGCTTATTGTCTGCTGTAACCCGCCCAGGCTCTTTTCTGCAGAGCTGCTCCTTAGCCAGTTGGTCCCCAGCCTGTACCAGTGCATGGGATTGTTTCATCCTGCAAATTTGCAGCCTGGGGACAAAATTAGACCTCTGGATATCCAGGTGTCAAAAAATACCCTGGGGGAAAAAAGTTGGCCTGGCATGGTCTGGGACCATGCCCTGAGGCAACCGGTGGCTCAGTCCTCCACAGAGATGTTCTGGTAGCCAGCCAGAACGTCTCTATGGCTGGCCCTTGCCCTGGTGCTTAAGCACGCTGCCTACTTATGCAGGGCAAGCAGCAGTGCAGGCTGCAGGGACCTGGACCTGGCTTCGTGCCAGGTAAGTAGAGGGTTGGGGATCTGGAGGGAGGGGGTGAGGACCATGGTGGGGGTGCTGCCCAGCCCCCATTTCTTCCCCCTGCCCCTGCTTACTCTCCTGCCTGGCCTCAACTCCTCCCCCCCCCCCCCACACTCACTAGCAGTAGCAGCAGCAGTTGGGGCCACTAAGGGCTTCGTGGCAGAGCCCCCCTGCACAGGAGGCAGTGGGGCTTGGCCCCAATTGCATGGCACTTCACCTGCAACATACCAGCAACAGCAGGTGTGGGCGGCTGGAGTCCAGCAGGGGAGCAATGGTGGGGATGGGAGCCAGAGAAGGAACGACCAGGAGCCTGGAGCTGACCAGGGGAACCCCTGAATCATCTCCAGCCTCCTGCTCGTTCCCCTGCTTGGGAGGCTGGATATAAGCAGGAGCACAAGCAGGGGGCTGGAGATTGGAGACAATCCGTTGGTGACAAGCTTGAGACTTCCCCTGCTGTCTCCAGTCTCCTGCTGGTCTCAGGCTTCCCAAGGCTGGGGACGAACAGGGGAATGATCAGGGGGCTGCAGACCAGCAAGGGGGTTGGGCACAGTCCCCCCACACCTATCCAGACACTGACCCGCATCCCCCCAGCTCCCTCCACACCCACCCACACACCAACCCACATCCCCCCACCTCCCTTCCTGCAAACCCCGCATCTCCCCATCACACACTCACCACGTGATAAGGAAACCAAAAGCAAACATAATAGATATTTAGGATCTATTTTATTATGATGCTAGAGTCACTGACAGGCTTCCCAATTGCTTTAACATTGTAAATATAGCAATAAAACGTTGCCTATCTGATCAATCCCTCTCTCTTTTGTTCAAAATGTGGAAGAACATGGATTTTGGGGTATTTTAAAAAGTGAATTTGGGATGCTGCCTCAGCAGTCTAGCTGACACAAGGGACTAGTGTCCGCAGATACCAAGTGGCTGGGCCTCAAAAGCTCCTATCTATTTATAACATTCAAATAAATACCTCAGAAGTTCCTGAGGGCAAGTAGCCCTGAGCTGCTGGCCAGGGCAGGTTTTTTATACTCGGGCCCCAGGCTCTCTCCCCCTGGCTGCAGATCCAGGAGGAGCCAGACAAGGTTATTTTGCCCCAAGTGGAACAGTTTTCTCCACAACAAAGTGGATGTCCCAGCACATGCAATGAAGCAAAAAGTCGTGGCTCACATTTGCACCACTTGTATTTGAGTTGCTGCAAGCGCACATGCTTGCATGTGTGGACGCACTCCATGAGATTTCTTGTGGTCCAATCCTCCAGTTTGTCAAGGTTTTTATGAATCCTAGTCATGTACACCAGTGTATCTGTTATTCCCCCCAGCTCGGTGTCATCTGCAAACTTGCTGAGAGTGCATTCCATCCCATCTTCCCATCTTTGGAGTTTAAATTATTTTTTTTAGCAAATTATTTCACTCTTGGAAAGTTTCTAGGCATCTGTTGGAAGGTATAGACACAACTAGATGGGGTAGTATTTTCATTCATTACGATTTATATGTTAAAAGATGCCATATAGACATTTGCAATGTATATAAAATAAAAATGTTTGGCTTCATCATTCTGTTAAACTTATGGGTTTTGTGTCTGTCTAAGGCAAAGTCCTAAAGGACTTTAAGAAAAAAAAACCTCAATTTACATTTCCTTTAAAAAAAAAGTGAAGTAAACAGTATATTATAATTCTCCATTTTATTTAAATATCTCAACTTTTCACAGTTCTGATACAATAATTACACATTTCTTTTATGAAGGAAATAAATGAAATTGAAGGAAAAAAAATTCCCATGAAACTAAAAATAAAACAGTAAATTAGTTTTAAGTCTTAGCACTGCCACCAAATGCATTCACACACGCAGGTAGTCTCATTGAGCTTACTGAATATAGCAGAGCTTTCAATATTCATGACATCAGTTGCATGCCTAAGTGTTGAAAGGTCTCAAGCTGATATTTTTCCACTTTTTTTCCACATTTAAAGCAATGTATATTATAGTTATGTGAGCAGCTTTATTAAGCAAAATTAAGATACAAATGCTGACTTTGTAAGCTGGAAGGAATAGTTTAATGTTTCTTTCTGGGGGGACCCTTGGTTGGGCTTTTCATTCTGTATATGAAGAAGAGTACGACGACATAGTACATGCTGCTTTTCAGGAGAAGAACTATGTATATTAAAGATGCAGTCCTGTGCGTGAAATTCTCTGCAATATCAAAAACAAAATATAAATATAATGCCTATACAGTAGTTGATGGCTATAGTTTATGCATCCTAATCAAACTCCATATAATTGAGTTAAGGCTGTAATGGTATTAAACTCCCCCCCCACCCCATTGAATATGCAACACCTAAGCTGAATTTGGGTAGTGTTTGATCCGAACTGAAGGGATGGCATTAGGTTTTGGAAGCTTTTTATGACATAACTGAGAGCAGCTTTCTACATCTTGAAGAATTGTGTGTCATCTAGTTTCAATGATTAGGTTTCTCATATATTTTGAATATACAACGTGGTGCTTAATTCTTGCACATACTCTATTAAAAATTGAGAACTGGACACTTGTAAGTTACCTTTGAAAAATACTGTGCCATTTGCTTGCCCGGCAATACAGTTGTCTGTTTGAGTCACAGTTGCTGAAAGAATCAAAGTTATAACATGTAAAGGAAGAATTACCTGTTCAAATGCTTGTTCTGTCTAAGGCCCCTGCTGCTCGTTACATATATCGTGCAATTAACTGGTTAATCACCCAATATATTTATACTAGCCACACGTGCAAAGTAATTATCACACAACTGACTGATTAATTATGCAATAAATTTAAACCAGCCATACATGCAAAGTAGTTATCACACCCTAAAAATGACTATCCAGCTATAAAAAAGCAACCAGCTGCAAAGTTACTGCTTGAAAATGTGTAACAACCCCCTTGCTGGCTTCAGGACACTTTTAATTTCAACATACAACACTGCCCTAAAGTTTTCCTTAATAGGAATTTTTCTTAATAGGAAATTAACATTTTCCTTACTAGGAATTCAGAGATGGAATAAAAAAGTAAAACGGTGACCACAATATAAACAGGTAAAATTGCACTCTTTC